AAATATTATTTTGTTTGGATAGTTTATTATATCTAATATTACGCATTGATCTGGCTTCGTTGAAAAACAAAGCGTACTCCTTGCATGCATTGGGGCTTACTGAACCGATTTCGGTAGCCCAAAGTAGTCATTCAAAACGGTGGCCTTTGTGGTGGCTACCGATATGCAGCGCCATCTATTAGAGGGTAGCCGAATAGAAATATATTCATCCGTATGTCTTTCATAAGTGATTTTAAACTAATTCTGTTCATTTTCAACTAGACAAAAAAAATCGCTCAGTTGGGCTACCATCCCATAGATGGCGGTTCTTTGTAAAGTTACTATGATAGGTCTCACAAAATTTAACTAGTCAAAAAGATCCTTTAGGGGCGGCTGGTCGGGGTTCGGGACGGGTTTTATGGCAACGCACCTTCAAAGATCAAGAAACTTGAATTTCTGTGAGGGGGTTTAAAAATCCCCATTTTTTGATAAAAAGATTATTTTGTTTCGTTTAGTTTATTATATCTAATATTACGTATTGATTTGGCTTTGTTGAAAAACAAAGCGTACTCCCCCTTGCATGAATTGGGGCTTACTGAACCGATTTCGGCAGCCCGAGGTAGTAATTCAAAACGGTGGACTTTGTGGTGGCTACCGATATGCAGTACCATCTATCAGAGGGTAGCCGAATAGAAATATATTCATCCGTATGTCTTTCATAAATGATTTTAAACTAATTCTGTGCATTTTCAACTAGACAAAAAAAAAGTAAAGTTAGTATCATAGGTCTCACAAAATTTAACTAGTCAAAAAACCCTTTAGGGGCGGTTGGTCGGGGTACGGGACGGGTTTTATGGAAACGCACCTTCAAAGATCAAGAAACTTGAATTTCTGTGAGGCGGTTTAAAAATCCCCTCATTTTTTGATAAAATTATTATTTTGTTTCGATTAGTTTATTATATCTAATATTACGTATTGATCTAGCTTTGTTGAAGAACAAAGCGTACTGCCCCTTGCATGCATTGGGATTTACTGAACCGATTTCGGCAGCCCAAGATAGTCATTCAAAACGGTGGACTTTGTGCTGGCTACCGATAAGCAGCGCCATCTGTAGGAGAGTATCCGAAAAAAACATATTCATCCGTATACATTTCGTAAATGATTCTTAGCTAATTCTGTGCATTTTCAACTATACAAAAAAAAAACAATTCGTTCAGTTGAGCTACGCACTTTTAAAGACCAAAACATTTTCGTGAGGGGGTTGAAATCCCCCATTTTTTGAAAAAAATATTATTTTTTGTCGATTAGTTTATTATATCTTATATTCCGTATTGATTTGGCTTTGTTGAAAAACAAAGCGTACTCCCCATTGCATGAATTGGGGCTTACTGAACCGATTTCGGCAGCCCAAGGTAGTCATTCAAAACGGTGGACTTTGTGCTGGCTACCGATAAGCAGCGCCATCTGTAGGAGAGTGTCCGAAAAAAACATATTCATCCGTATACATTTCTTAAATGATTCTTAGCTAATTCTGTGCATTTTCAACTAGACAAAAAAAAAACAATTCGTTCAGTTGGGCTACGCACTTTCAAAGACCAAGAAACTTAAATTTTCGTGAGGGGGTTGAAATCTCCCATTTTTTTTAAAAAAAGATTATTTTTTGTCACACAAGGTATTTTGTGCCTATAAAACCTTTTACTCTTTAGGGGAAAACAAAGTAACGTAACTCCTTCATCCATTAAAAGATCTAGACTTCTGTTATTAATCTTACAATTTTAATGGAGCCATGTGAAAAAAACGGTTTTTATAGTACCTTCGTCCACTCGTGACTTCAATTCAGTAACGTTGTGATGCTGCTTAAGTTTCACATGGTCAGTTTCCACATTTCTAAAATATTTTCCTCTATGGGGAAAACATCATAAGACCGAATAGATTGATTTCCCAACGACATCGACTACTCTCATTCAGGGTGTTTGTCGGATGAATAGTTAGTTTCACTATCCCGATTCGATAAGACTGTCGACTAAACCCGTGAAGTTAATTCAGACTATATTCGTTAATCCCCAGATGACGTCAACTACTCTAGTTCGAAGCGTTTTCAAAATGAACTTGCAAAGCTAATTTCCCAAGACTATATCCATTAATTCCCCGGTGACTTCGACTACTCCCATTCCGGATGTTTGTCAAAAAATAAATTTGCGAATACAATTTCACCAGACTACATTCGTTAGCCCCCAGCAGACTCCGACTACTGCTGCTCTACGTGTCTGCAAAGTGAATTTGAGAAAATAACTTGAACATACTATATTTATTAATCTCCCGGTTCGAGAAGACTGTCAAATAAACTTGTGAAGTTAATTCCATCAGACTGTATCTGTTAATCTCCAGACGACGTCGACTACCCTAGCTCGAGGCGCTTTGAAAATTAACTTGCGATTCGAATTTCCCAAGACTATATCCATCAATCCTCCGATGACGTCAACTACCCCCAATATGGGTGTTTGTCTTATAAATCTGCGACGTTAATTTCACCAGACTATGTCTATTAATCCTTCGACGACGTCGACTAATAATCCCATTCCGAGTGTTTGACAAAAAAAAATGCGAATATAATTTCACCAGACTACATTCGTTAGTTCCCAGATGGCGTCGACTACTGCTGCTCTAAGTATCTACAAAATGAATTTGAGAAAATAATTTGAGCATACTATATTCATTAATCTCCCGGTTCGAGAAGACTCAAACAATCTTGTGAAGTTAATTCCACCAGACTATATAGTTTGAGGCGTATTTAAAATGAGCTTGCGAAACTAATTTCCCAAGACTACACCCATTAATTCCCCGATGACATCGACTACTCCCATTCTGGGTGTTTGTCTAACAAATTTGCAATGTTAATTTCACCAGTCTCATTCCAGGTGTTTGTCAAAAAATAAATTTTACGAATATAATTTCACCAGACTACATTTTTTAATCCCCAGACGACGGCGACGTCGACCACTTCTGCTCGATGTGTCTGCAGAATGAATTTAAGAAGATAATTTGAATATACTATATTTCTTAATCTCCCGGTTCGAAAAGACTGTCAAATAAACCAGTGAAGTTAATTTCACCAGACTATATACGTTAATCCCCAGACGACGTCGACTACTCTAGTTCGAGGCGTTTTCAAAATGAGCTTGCGAAGCTAATTTCCCAAGACTTCATCCATTAATTCCCCGATGATGTCGACTACTCCCATTCTGGGTGTTTGTCTAACAAATCTGCAAAGTTAATTTCACCAGTCTCATTCCAGGTGTTTGTCAAAAAATTAATTTTACGAATATAATTTCACCAGACTACATTTTTTAATCCCCAGACGACGGCGACGTCGACCACTTCTGCTCGATGTGTCTGCAAAATGAATTTGTGAAGATAATTTGAACATACCATATTTCTTAATCTCCCGGTTCGAAAAGACTGTCAAATAAACCAGTGAAGTTAATTCCACCAGACTATATACGTTAATCCCCAGACGACGTCGACTACTCTAGTTCGAGGCGTTTTCAAAATGAGCTTGCGAAGCTAATTTCCCAAGACTACATCCATTAATTCCCCGATGACGTCGACTACTCCCATTTTGGGTGTTTGTCTAACAAATCTGCAATGTTAATTTCACCAGTCTCATTCCAGGTGTTTGTCAAAAAATAAATTTTTCGAATATAATTTCACCAGACTACATTTTTTAATCCCCAGACGACGGCGACGTCGACCACTTCTGCTCGATGTGTCTGCAAAATGAATTTAAGAAGATAATTTGAACATACCATATTTCTTAATCTCCCGGTTCGAAAAGACTGTCAAATAAACCAGTGAAGTTAATTCCACCAGACTATATACGTTAATCCCCAGACGACGTCGACTACTCTAGTTCGAGGCGTTTTCAAAATGAGCTTGCGAAGCTAATTTCCCAAGACTACATCCATTAATTCCCCGATGATGTCGACTACTCCCATTCTGGGTGTTTGTCTAATAAATCTGCAAAGCTAATTTCACCAGACTATGTCTGTTAATCCTTCGACGACGTCGACTAATACTCTCATTCTAGGTGTTTGTCAAAAAATAAATTTTACGAATATAATTTCACCAGACTACATTTTTTAATCCCCAGACGACGGCGACGTCGACCACTTCTGCTCGATGTGTCTGCAAAATGAATTTGAGAAGATAATTTGAACATACTATATTTCTTAATCTCCCGGTTCGAAAAGACTGTCAAATAAACCAGTGAAGTTAATTCCACCAGACTATATACGTTAATCCCCAGACGACGTCGACTACTCTAGTTCGAGGCGTTTTCAAAATGAGCTTGCGAAGCTAATTTCCCAAGACTACATCCATTAATTCCCCGATGATGTCGACTACTCCCATTCTGGGTGTTTGTCTAATAAATCTGCAAAGCTAATTTCACCAGACTATGTCTGTTAATCCTTCGACGACGTCGACTAATACTCTCATTCTAGGTGTTTGTCAAAAAGTAAATTTACGAATATAATTTCACTAGACTACATTGTTTAATCCCCGCAAAATGAATTTGAGAAGATAATTTGAACATACTATATTTCTTAATCTCCCGGTTCGAAAAGACTGTTAAATAAACCAGTGAAGTTAATTCCACCAGACAATATCCGTTAATCCCCAGACGACGTCGACTACTCTAGTACGAGGCGTTATCAAAATGAACGTGCGAAGCTAATTTCACCAGACTATATCCGCTAATCCCTCGATGACGTCGACTACTCCCATTCCGGGTGTTTGCGAATATAATTTCACCAGACTATATCCGTTAATCCAGAAACGACGTCGACTCCTCAAGTTCTACGCGTTTTCACAATGTACTTGCGAAGTTCACCAGACTATAACTATAAATCCTCCGATGACGTCGACTACTCTTGTTTAAAGTGCTTACAAAATAAGCTTGCCAAGTTAACTTTTTAGATATTAGTGAGGAAAACCTAATGGAACTGAGATTAAAACTAGCATTTCACATTTTAGTTTTCTTTATTGATATAGTTCTTACATGTTCAAAAGTATATATAAGGCCTACAATTTCAAAGTCATAGCACCGTTTTGGATAAAACTTGTTCCAGTAATTGTTCCCATAGAATTCTCATTCGAAATAGAGAATACGAAAAATCCTAGCTTACAGTGCGACTTAAAGTCGAGAAAATATACAGAACATAAAAATGTATCAGAGTAAAAGTACTCAGAGTCTTATAATTTCATGGTATTCAACTATAACTAACGTATTAATTATTAGATTAATTTTATCGGGAGCTGTTTTTCATAAATATGGATGTACTGAACACTATACTTGATGTCAATTATATTTAGATATAGTCAAGAACAGTTTTGCTTACATTACTCAAAATTCAAGATTCTAGATTCGCGATGTCCACATTTATTCGATATTCTGGTAAGATGACTTAGGTATTAGTATTTTTTCGGTTGAATTTCTGCATCAAATCAATTATGTGAAAAAATAAAGTAGTACTGACTTACCCAAGAACCAGACGCAGATTTAATGAAGACAGAATCAGCTCATGAGAAGCACTGCTTAAAAAACGACATTTCGTTATAAAAAAAACATCATTTTTGAAACACGCTTGGAAAATAGCATATTTCTACAGCAATTGCTAAATAACGACCAAGTCGATTTTATATCAGTTTACGGCGACTTAAAAATTCATATCATTCTCCTGGATGTCTCCATCCCGCACCGCGTATACATGTTTATCTCGTACAAAGGTCATTTGCAGGAAATCCAAAATGAGCACTGCAGAAGACCTAGATAGCGCCGAATGTTGTAAATTGAGGAAGAAATTAACAAACCTGTGCTTTTGAATCGTCTGGCGACAACCTTGAATAGTATTTACAAACAACATACATATGTCAGGGAGCTACTCGACATTCCTTACCGAATGGATAGTTTTATTTTTCGCTTTTTGTTTACCTAATTCTGAAAATAAAAAATCCCAGCTTTGAAAATCTTTGAGTTTCGGATTTCGACTGCTCTCGTTTAGTCATCTTGAAGCTACTGATATAATTAGTCAAAGCCCGATATGAAGGAAGTTTATCAGACTTTGACTGGAAAGCTTCGCTATGTTACATCATTTCATCTACGGTCTCATTCCCACTTGCAAAGACAACACTCATGCTATTTTTTCTTCTTCGTTCTAGCTGGCCTGACGCCTGGCGGCAACTCCTCCTTCTGTTCAGTCACGGTGTCATAACTCCCGCCACTGTCTACGCACCGCCCACTTTCCGTACTCCGCCCACTGTCCGGATTAGGGGTGGAGCATTCTCCATTATTATTAACGAGCGTGATTTGTAGGCGGGGCACCGTCAACGGGCGAATGAGTGACTTGACGACAGGCGGTACGGATCCGCCGGAAGGAAGTACCGGGGAACTAGCGCACAGGGCGGCGGAAGTGAGCTGCGTGACAAGCCGGGCGCTGGAGAGGGCGTCCGATTGGCTGTCTGGGCCGGAAGACGTGCGAAACACTTTGCGGAGCCGGGATTTTATACCTGCAAATAAGTTAAGAGTGAATTTCATCAACTAGAAATATCATCAACCGCCTCCATGACTTATTGTGAAGAGGTCTTATTTTATGTCTTACCATGTGTCGGTTCCTGTTGTGGTATCCTAGGTACAGGAAGTGGCATCACCTTGCCCATAATAACGGTGGTCCGCTGATCATCCCCTCCCCATCGACCGTAGGCTGTTGACCTCTCGAGCAGTCGCTGCCGCGCATGCCTCTCGATGGCGTCTGCGCATGAGTACCGTCCGCAGAAGCGCGCCCATTGGTCTGCGCGGAAGCCACGACCTTGGTCGCGCAGGGTGGGGTTTGCGCCTGAAATTCAAACATGGTTAGTTTACAAGCAAAACGTTCATGGATAGCTTGTTATTAGGTCAATACCTTGTCTTTTAGAAAGTTGTGCCAATATTTCTATGGTATAAAAAACAAAAACAAAAAAAAAAGCTTGATACGGCGGTAGATCCGCCTCTGGTTTTGGCCATTTGATTACATCACCACACACCCCTTCTATCACTAATATCGAAAACACCCTGTATATTATATATTGGCATACATTTTTTTGACGTTTATGTCACAGTGACGTATCTAGAGTGTTCCAGAAAGATCTCGACATTCGATGTAGGTTATTTAACCGATGACAAACCTGTCAAAACTCACAGTCGATATTGGTCGAGATGGGGAAAGATTACTATAGGATCCTTGGCATAAGCAAAAATTCAACGGACGATGATATCAAAAAAGCATATAGAAAACTTGCTTTGAAGTACCATCCCGACAAAAACAAGTCTGCCGAAGCTGAAGAAAGGTTCAAAGAGGTAGCTGAGGCGTACGAAGTGTTGTCGGATAAGAAAAAAAGGGACGTTTACGATTCCTACGGTGAAGAAGGATTGAAAGGTAGGAATGTATATTCTTGGTTTTCAAGTTTGCGGCCGTTTTTTTGGATGTGTTTCCTTTGAACCAATTTAAGATAGTGCGTTAGGATTCTTGAACTAGGAGTTTCGTACCAGTGATATAAATGAAGAAGCCTATAGTTGTAGGCACCGTTCTTGGCGGTTACGTCATCAACGTCATATGAAATAAGTAAACCGATCGAGTCTCCGTACCATGGGCGGAACACTGCGCAGATTAATCTTCAGCGCATCTGCTACTCTCTCCATTACCATGAAGTGGGTAACAGGGGACCGCTGTTTTCATTCTTTTCCTGGAAACACTCTAATAAATTTAGCACGAGCTGTCGGCCTTCTCCATTGATCGTATTTTCGTTCATTGTACAATTTTATATTGAAGATTGAGAACAGGACAACTCGAATTGCACGCCGATGTCAAGTAAGTTGTCACTCTGACAAATATGATTGAAGGACACTCATACGTAACGACAAAGTTTTCGGGACTGAAACACACAACTAAAGGATGTCTTTGAGCTTACCGAACAAACGGAGTGCCCTTCAATCATATTTGTCAGAGTGACAACTTACTTGACTTCGGCGTGCAATTTAAGTTGTCCTGTGATCAATCTTCAATAGAAAATTGTACAATGGCCGGAAATACGATTATCGGAGAAGTGCTAAATTTATTATTATATTTCCAGGGAGATAATGAAAACAGCGGTCCCCTGTAACCCACTTCATGTGTACTGGGGAGAGTAGCAGATGCGCTGAAGATTCGACAGAAATTGGGAATACTTCCTACGATATGAGAAGTAAAGCACAACATATTACGACCTCTGCGCTCAAGATCCGCGCATGGTACGGAGACTCGATCTGTTTACTTATTTCATATGGCGTTGATGACGTAACCGCCAAGAACGGTGACTTCGACTTTTTGGCAAGCTCGCTGGCAGTTATTGAAGATCAAGCCACCTTATCTCACCCTCATCTGAAACAGTTGACGCCTGACATTTTCGGAATAATTTTACATATACAGGATGGTTCATTAGTGTCCGGCTCTTTCTTGTATGGTATATAAATAATTTTAAAAGTAACTCTTAAATCGTGTCTTGTGGCTGACTCGGTGATTGTTCTCCATGTTTTAATGAAGGCAGTTGAACGAAATCACATACGTAGATTTGAGAAAGTATAATGACGTTTCGATTAAATCGGTCATTGCGGAACTTGTATCATAAAAAGGGCCACGAAAACCAGAAATTTTCTCACGTCCAACCCATCCAAAAAAAGGACCGGCCCTTATAACTACAGGCTTATAGCTCTGATTTCTGTTAGAAGTAAGGTGATGGGGAGGTGCATAAATCGCGAGTTTCTGGACTACCTCGAACGCAGAAAAAAGAAGAATAGCAGCAACTTCAAAAATCGTGTACACTTGGTACCAAAAGACAATATTGTGCCTTGACGAATAAAAAGCGTTCTAGCGCTTTTGCGGTTTCGATGGTTGGAGTCCAGATCACCGAGGACTCGATCTGGCACGTACACATCTCGTCTACAGCTGCAGCTGCTTGGAAAAAGCTATGCTATTTGTTTAGGGCTAAGAAGTACTTTTCTCCGCATGACCTCACTTTATATAAGACCCAGACCTAGCCTCGAATATTGCTCTCACGTTTGTGGTGCTGCCGCCTCGACTACATTATTGCAGTCCTCTACATGATGAGGCTTTTCCTAGTTCTAATGACCTTAGGCAGCTCAAGAATCGGATTAACAAAATTTCTTTAGGATCCTCAGCAAACGCGGTGTCCTGGCATTTAGGCTTCTCCCTTCGCGGCTGTTTCGGAAGCCGATCCCACAGTAATTTCTTTCCATCAACATCTGAGAATAAACTATCTTGGAGGAATTGAGTTTCTTTATTGTCCACAGAACACGATTTCTTACTTCGACCTCCAAACTTACTTTATATGTAACAACATTTTGATTAAAAACGCCATGGCATCCAAATCGATGAAATCATACTTGTACAAATCAAATTTCCGAAATATTTCTTTCTTTTTCGAAATAATATAGGTTTTAGACAATTTTGTATTGTTTATTTAAAGGTCGCATCCCCGGAGGAGGAAGCAGCCCATTCGGGAATGATGGCTTTACTTACACCTTCCATGGAGATCCACGTGCAACATTCGCACAGTTTTTCGGAAACACCAATCCCTTCCAGGTATAGTCTAAGTGCTGTCGAGCACGCGATTCCAAAAAACAGTTTAACAGCTTTTAACAAATTGTTTATTTGTTTTAAAGGTACCAAACTACCTGAACCAATTAAGCAGTACATGGTTTGCTATTTTCAAGCATATTAGTTTAATAATATATTACTTTCAATTAAACTGGTTCCAGGAAATTCAGTTTAAGCCGAATAATTTAGTTATTTGGAACACATAAAAAATCCACACGTAACGAAAATTTTCCAGAAAAACTATTTAGTTGTCCCCTTTTCCCCAGTGTACATAATCAAATTGGTAGAGGTTGTGGCTAGATTTCAATGCTAATCATATTAGCAAATTTCCCCGAAATAATTTAAAGTCTGGTTTTATTGGTGCAAGTTGATCAAGGGGGTATTTGGAACATCGACGCATAACACGGGTACACCAATTTTTGTGGGAACACTTTTTAACAACAAATAATGAGAAAACGTGTTTTTTGGGATTCAATCGAAAAAGTTGACAGGAACGAAAAAAGATTTTTAGGCATTTATGAGGCCTACAAAATGAGACCAGATGTGAAAAGATCCGACTAATAGAAAAAATGTTATGGCTGAAAAACGAGGCAAAATGCAGGTTTTGGCACTTCTTGGTAATGCGTCGATAATTTCACGCAGCTACTCGACATTCTTCAAATCCGTAGGATTCATACTTATAAATATTAACAACAAAATTGGAGTATAGTGGTCAAGTAGTTTTTTTAGAATTTTCTAATTGTTTATCCAAAACCCCTGTCTTCCAGCCATCACTACTAGTTTATTGAGGAATATACAGGGTTCGTTCAAAGATAATTCAATAGCAAAATACACGTGCTTACCTTACCCATATGAATCACGAACCATTCCGAAAGATAAATGTTATTTTTATGCGAAAAACAAAGGTTACGTTTTTTTCTTCTAAGCAAATTCAAACATTTCGTATTTGTGAGTAATTGAACAAATGAGTTACGATATTCGAAAAACATACGTTACTATATGCATTTTAGAACACAGTGGATGTGTCTTATCATATTTTGTGGCGAATTACTCACAAATAAGAATTGTTTGAATTTGTTTAGAAGAAAAAACGTAACCCATCCTTTTTGCATAAAAATAACATTTATCTTCCGGAATGGTTTGCGATAAATATCGGCAAGGTAAACTAGTGTATTTTGCTATAAAATGCCATGAATATTGCTCAATAAACTAGTAGTGATTGACAGAAAACAGGTGTTTTGGGATAAACAATTAGAAATTCTCAAAAACTAGTTGACCAATCTACTCTAATTTTGTTGTGGTTATTTAGAAGTACGAATCCTACGAATTTGAAGAACTTCAAATATGTGCGAGAAACCATCGTTTTTTTATACCTGCCAACACTTTCGATTGAATCCCGAAAAACATGTTTTGTCATTCTTTGTTGTCGAATAATAAGTTTTCCCACAAAAATTGGTCTACCCATTTTACGCGTCCATGTTTTGAATACCCCCTTGAACAACGTGAAGCAATAAAACCAGACCTTACAACTATTTCGCTAACCAGGGGTATTTTCGTCTAATATCATTAGACTATATCAGAACTTGTACCGCTGAAACCTTTTATTGTGAAAGAATACGCACAAATTTATTTTTGGGGAGCACCCATATACAGAATGTGTTAAACTTTTAATGCCATATCTGATATACGAGCCTCTTCCCACTTCAGTTGGAACAATTATTGAAATCTTAGTTTTTTTCTTATCAAACACAAATAATAAAAATGTAGCAGGGTGTTCTAGGTTTAAAATATTAACAAAGAATATTTTGATAACATATAGTAGAAAATACCATCTTTATCATTCCCTAATCAAATTTGCAGCATAAAAATAACACATGTTGCAATTACAGCATATCAACCTATTTTTATTTCAATGCAAAATAAGTCTATAACGCATAGATGGTGTGAAAAATAAAAGCAATGACAATTGTTTTTATTAATCTCATCTGACAGAATACGTTTAAAATAGTTGTGGGTAGTTAAGGTTTTCAAAATGGGTAGAGGAAAGGTTATTAGTGAGAAAATTCGGTTACTGATAATTATTTTTTTTAATTCTGGGTAATCAATCTCAGAAATTGCAACTTTGTTAGATTTATCGCGGTACAGTGTGACAAATATTGTTAGAAGATATAACGTAACTGGTTCAGTTAATATTAGGCCACGATATGTGAAAAAAAGTAATATCACAAATGCCGACCGAAGATCATTAAGAAGAATAATCCTGAAAAACAGGCGTGCCAATTATTAACAATTAAGTGCTCTGTGGAGTGACGCTATTGGAATGAATGAATCTCGAATTTTAGAGGCATCCCGGCCACCATAAGGAGCCAGTGCATAGGCCGCTTAAGCGGGCCCTTATGCACCTCTACAATACTTAAATCACAAGCCTCGCCCTTTTAGCGAAGTTGAGAATCGCCTTGAGTCCAAGCTCCTTTACGTCCTGAGGGTCCAAAGTAATGGACCCCAGTATAGTCTGCCTATAGTAGCTCAGAGCTTCACAGCGACACAAAACGTGCGCCGAAGTCTCTTCCTCTACTCCGCAGCGTTCGCACAAGGGATCCTCAGCCACCCCCATCACGTGCAGGTGCCGCCTTAACGTGTTATGGCCAGACAACAGTCCCACCAGCAACCTTAGGTTGGCTCTACCCAGAGATAGGCAGAAGCGTCCATCCTTAGCACTGGGCCGTTCAATGAGCTCTCGTGCCTGGCGGAGATGTCTAGAGATACTTCTCCATTTCTGAGAGTGTTGTCTTGCAACCCACGTCTCCATTTTCCTCCTAGCTTTATGCGCGGTTACTCCTAGAGCTGGCTCAGGACCAACGAGCTTGCTGGCTGATCCTGTTTTCGCCAGAGTGTCCGCCGTCTCATTGCCCCTTATCCCAGCGTGCCCCGGTACCCATATTAACGATACCGGATGCCTCGCTGCGAGGCAATCCAGAGCCTCCCTGCATTGCAATACAAGACTCGAAGTAATCTTACATGCACTTAGTGCTTTCATTGCAGCCTGGCTGTCGGATAAGATTGTTATTCTTCTCCTAGGCCCACCCTCCTCCAGAATGTGAGATACACAAGCCAGAATCGCAAAGATTTCCGCCTGGAAAATGGTGGTGTACTCACCGAGAGGCAGAGATAGCCTAGTTCTAGGTCCAGAGACCCCAGCACCTGAGCCCTCTTCGGTGACCGAGCCGTCCGTGTACCAGACCTGCCCGCTCACTTCGGAGAGTCCTCGGCTACCGGCGTCCCACTCCTCCCTCGTTGGGTACTCCACAATAAACTTGCGGTTGAAGCGATATTTAGGGGCAATACGATCACCCCTGCTTAGAAGGACGGGGTCCTCCCTTTCTAATTCGACTAATATGGCAGTATGCCCCTTGACCGGATTCAAGAAAGCCCAGCTGCCCTGATTCCACAGTCGATGAGCGACTACTCTCGCTTCACCGCGGATCACCAGATCCAACGGTGGGAGATCCAACAGAGCTTCCATTGCACTCAATGGCTTTGTTCGCACTGCGCTTGTAATGCTAATACAGGCCAAACGCTGAATTTTATTGAGTTTGGCCTTAGTTGACTCAGTTCTAATGCAAGGCCACCAGACCAGGGAGCCGTACAAGAGAGATGGACGTACTATCGTCGTGTAGAGCCAGTATACCACTTTGGGTTTAAGCCTCCACCTTACTCCGACAACACGTCTACAAGCCCACATCGAATTGCGAGCCTTGCTAACCTTGTGTTCCACATGCTCTCTCCAGTTCAGTTTGCAGTCCAGGATAATTCCCAGATATTTCACTGACTGGGACAAAACTAATCTAGTCCCAAAGAAGGTAGGCATGACCAGTCCGTCAAGCCTTCTTCTCCTAGTGAATAGGATCAGCTCGGTCTTTTCAGCATTAACAGAAAGATCGACTTCCCTACACCACGATTCCACGGAGCGCAGAGCGCCCTGCATAATTTCCGAGACTGTTCTACAGAACAGACGCTATTGGAAGGAGAATTTCGAGGTCCACAACTCATAGAGACCCACAAACTGTGATTTAGCACTTGCAAGGTAAGTTTTCTTATAAAAAAAAAGTGAAGTAAAAACCCTAAAGTTGCAAAACTTGTTTATAGGCCAAAGAAAAGCCACTATTAACTCCACTGCAAAAGAAAAATCGGCTTAGATGGGCTAAAGAACATAGACAATGGACACCTCAACAATGGTGTGCAATACAATGGAGTGATAAGGTCCGATTCGAAGTTTGTGTTGGTGACAGTCGCAGTAGAGTTATTCGCAAAAAAGTGAAGCATTCCATGTTGACTGTCTGAAGAGAAAAGTGAAATTTCCAGCATCCATTATGGTCTGGAGCAGTATGTCATCAAAAGGAGTAGGAAAACTTCATTTTATTGATGGAAATGTAGATACAAACAAATATTTGGCAATTTTAGAAGAATCGCTTTTACCAGTGATGGAAGAATGTTTGACATCCGGCCAAGATTTTGTGTTTCAGCAAGATGGTGCAGCGTGCCATACCTCAAAAAAGGATATAAAATGGATGTCCAGATCTGTCACCTATTGAAACTTTGTGGCACGAGATGAAAAAGGTTCTCCGACAACAACCTGCTCGTACAATCACCGAACTGAGACAAAAGCTTCAAGAAATATGGGATTCTTTTACACCAAATTTTTGCCAAAACTTGGTTAACACTATGCCACAAAGAATTTCAGCCGTAATAAAAAATAAAGGTGACCCAATGGTAATCTTTCAATTGTTGCTTTGTTAACTTCGCGAATTTATTCTCACATTGTTTATCTGTTCAGATGTTCTATTAGTTATAGGTCTAAGTGATTTCAAATATGTATTTTTTACGACTAGAGTGTATCTAAAATGTTTTTGAGAAAATAAATTGTTTTAAAAGTAAATAGTTTCGTCATGTTTAGTTTATAAAGGCATATTTTGGTACAAATCTTGAAGTGGGCCAACTGAAGTGAGAAGGGGCTCGTACATGCTAACAGTTGAACAGCATTCTGGGAGTAGCTAGGAATTACTTATGTTTTTCTTTTATGTTTTTCCTTGAGTAATCTGATTTTTCGTGTTTTCTATTTTTGTTAATTTGATTTATATTTTTTTAAACTATTCAGTTAATGGCTTTATTAACTGTTGGGTATTATTTATTATTTTGCATTTCCTCAGGACTTTTTCGGCTACGACGACGACATGGAGGGCCAAGGTCATCCGTTCGGCAGCGTCTTCCAGTTCACCACGAATGTTTCTTCAGGAGGGGGTTGTGGTAATTCACGGGTCCAACAGGACCCTCCCATTGAGCATGACATCTACATTGCTCTGGAGGACATCGCCAGCGGGTGCACCAAGACAATGAGGATCACCAGGAAGGTGTTGAGAAATGGTCGGTTGGAAAAGGAGGACAAGATGCTCACTATACATGTTAAGCCTGGGTGGAAGGCGGGCACCAAGGTATTTACAATGCCGAAATAAATTTTGTCGGAGGTTAACCAAAGTTTTAGTTTTATTTTTACGTCTTATTCGATTCCGTAATTCATTTATGAGTAATGTATCTCGGTGAAGGGATATTCAAAGGAGAAACCGCGTGATTTTTAGAAAACATTTTAACTTGGGAAAACGAGCTAGTAGAAAAACTGGTAGAAATTATTCTCACCTTTCTGACAGGTTTTGATGTCAGTTTTGATGTTTGAAGTTTACTAAATTTTAGGCTAAACATATTCATAGGATTTTCATACCATTAAACGTTCCATCCCAAAGTTAATTTCGCCTTTAGAGATAACCCCAAAATCCTCAAACATTTAAAGTTGTTAAAAATAACTTTTTTAAGAATAACTCGAGTTATTTTTAAAAAAGTTATTTTAGACTGATGCGACTCGGGAACTACCTGTATGCGAATATTTAAGGGTGTGGATCTACACGGAAAATTAATGTTAGTTTGCTTTATAAACTATGGTCCAAAAATGTTTCCTTACAAAAACTCGGGGTGTTGAAGTTTTAGGAAAAAAATGGAAATTAATTAATATTTTCAGAACATCCTTCAGATATTTCACTGATATTTAGTACGTAGTGAAAGTTAATAAAGTTGCATAATTTTCAATGCAAAAATAATTTTTAGCTTTAACAGTGGCATGCCTACGGGTATTGACTTTGATATTTTTTAAGAAAAAAGTGGTACGCCAATAGTTTGGCAAAAAAATTTTTTGCACCCAATGCTCTGGTGCACCATCATTCATGTACCACATATTGCTTCTTACTACTAACGGAACATCATCAAGCAGCAAAGGCAACTGTTGTTGAAGAAAATTGAGGTAAGTCTGTCCGTCAAGTCGTCCCGGCAAGAAGAATGGGCCAATAAAGTGGTTGTCAATAATTCCTGTCCATACATTAACCGAAAATTGGTGTTGGAAATGGGTTTCGGTTACGGCCCGCAAATGTTTATTGTGGAAATTCTGAATGGCATTTCGAGAAAAATTGGTTTCGTCCGTGAACAGAATCACTGATTCAAACTGCGGATTTTGTGTAATTTTTTGAAGATACCACTGACAAAAGGTCACATGCCTCGGAAAATCAATGGGAAGTAATGCCTGGAGTCTTAAAATATGGTAAGGATTTAACAAACAATCCACTAAAATTCTCCATACAATTTGATGGCAAATATTTAAGTGTCTAGCGATCTTCCTCGTACTCGTTTCAGGATGTTCTTCGACTTCGTGTAGCACTGCTTCCTCAATTTCGTGTGTTCTCACACTTAGAGGTCTACCTTCAGATGTTCCTTTTCAGGCAGAACCAGTTTCAACAAGACGACGATGAATATTAGAAAAGGTTCGACTATCTAGCAAAGCACGATCGGGATATCTCTGGTGATAAATCCGTCTGGCTTGCTTACCATTACCGTCGGCAAGGCCATATACGTAATGCATTTCCGCCATTTCTGCATTTGAATAATTCACCATTATTAACAAGATTGTAAAAACTAAATACAGTAAACTTCCGATTATCCGGATCTCGATTAACCGGAATGCCGCTTTATCCGGAACAAATTCGGTTTTTAAATGCGCCGTTTTATCCGGAACAATGCCTACGTGACCTCCCGATTATTCGGAATGACGAACGACGAAATGAATTCGGGTTCGGGTATCATCGGATTGAAATCGCCACTCGCAGACTTCCTGTGAAGATCACAGTGTAATGTTTGTCCGTATAGTTATTAGATGGTTATTGGCAAGTTGTTCTGCGTTTAGCACTAACATATTTGTTCTTCATAGGCTGTGTGCATATTTATGTTGAATGTAGTTACTGAGTCGTTATCATATGTATTAAAATGAGTGTTGCAAAACGGAAGAAAGTGGTTATATCATTAGAAGACAAACTGAATGCGATAAAAATGTTGGACAGTGGCGCATCATTAAAAACAGTTGCACAAAAATACGATGTCGGTGTGAGCACGGTCGGTGACTGGAAAAAAATCGCAACAAAATTAGAAAATGGTGCAGTGTTTTAGCAGCACCAACTAAAGAACGTAAAACGATGAAAACAGCAAAGCACGAAAAAATAGACCAGAGTTTATATTTATGGTTTAATCAACAGCGGGAACGTGGGGTTCCCGTATCCGGACCTATTTTGAAAGAAAAGCCACTTTCACTAAGCGAGGATCTACCAGAGACTGAATCGCCTCTTGATTTTACAGCTAGCGATGGTTGGCTTACTAGGTGGAAGAAGCGGCACGGAGTACACGAATTGCGAATCTGTGGTGAAAAACTCTCAGCAAATATAGCAGCAGTACAAGATTTTATAAAACAAATCAACGCCGTTATAGAAATATAGATAGAATCAGAAAAGTACACGTTGGATCAATTGTATAACTGTGATTAAACAGGCCTTAATTTTAAAATGATGCCATCTAAAACTCTGGCATCAAGAACTGAAGCAGGAGCACCGCGGTACAAGAAATCGAAGGAACGAATTACACTTCTCGCTTGCTCCAATTCTTCTGGTATACACAAACTACCCATCATGTGTATTGGTAAGTCTGCCAAACCAAGGGCTTTTAAGCACATATCTTCTAGCACCTTACCGGTGTATTATCGACATCAAAAAAGTGCGTGGATGGATTCTAACTTATTTCAAAATTGGTTCTTTGAAGAATTCGTACCTAAAGTAGAGACATTTTTGAAGAAATCTGGGTACCCAAGAAAAGCTATTTTGTTAATAGATAACGCACCATCTCACCCGATAGAAAGTGATCTGGTAAGTGGTGAAATAAAGGCTATGTTCCTTCCTCCAAATGTGACTTCCCTAACCCAACCTATGGATCAAGGTGTGCTAGAAACCCTTAAGAGACATTATCGAAAACTTTTATTGCAATCCACATTGGAAAAAATACATGAAACTGATTGCAGCTTGCTGGGTATCAGATGCGTGGAACAAAGTTAAAATGGAGACATTGGAAAAATCATGGTCAAACCTGTTGAGACCACAAGAAAAAGAGAGCACGATGGCTGAAGAAGATAGTGCTGAAGTTGAAGAACTTTTTTAAATGACCAAACAGCTTAGTGATTGCTAAGACGTAGACAAGGGCAATTTTACCGACTGGCTGGAAGGCGATGAGCAGATGGAGCTTACAGATAATGAGATAATATCTCTTGTAACTCGTAACAATGAAGAGGAAGAAAATGTGGATGAATCTCCCAGTATTTCTCACACTGAAGGCAAAGATGCTCTGGAGATAGCTATAAGGTTTGTATCATAAAAAATCTGTTTCATCAATATGTACATACTAACTAATTGTTTCTTAGGTATGTAGAGCAGCAGAAAGAAGCAACTCCAAGCGATGTGGCTCTTTTAAGAAGATGGCGTGATTTTGCAGCAAATGCAAGAAGGTCAAAACTAGTTCAAACGAATTTAGATTCATTTGCGCAAAGTTTTACATAATTGAATAAATATGTAGTATGTATACAATGTATTTATGTATGTATATTAAAAAATAAATAAATGCATCCGACTCTCGATTATCCGGAAATTTCGGTTATCCGGAAATGGCCCGGTCCACATTATTCCGGATAATCGGAAGTTTACTGTAATGAAAAACATGTCACAGCGAACAGATTTGAATAACAAAAGCCAGTGACAGGTTCCAGAGCAACTAGATATTTATTGTTAAATTGCATTCTTCAATTATTACATTAATTTTCTCGGACAATAGAACGGTTTTTATTTTTTTACTCAAAAATGGCGCATCGAATGAAAACAATTCCAGAGATATCATTTGTTTTAAATTGAACGGGGAATTCAAAAATAATTTGCAAAAAACCATTGGCGTACCTTTTTTGTCTTAAAAAATATCGAAGTCAATACCCGTACACACGCCACTGTTAAAGCTAAACATTATTTTTGCATTAAAAAATACGCAACTTTATTACCTTTCACTACGTACTCAATATCAGTGAAATATCTGAAGCGGTTCTGGAAATATTAATTAATTTCAAGTTTTTGTCAGGAAACATTTGTGGACCATAGTTTATAAAGCAAACTAACATCAATTTTCCATGAGAAAAAAGTTGTTTACTTACATGCACAATAGAAAAATTATATCGATCAAGTCAGTCAAACAGGCCCATGAAATGAGTCCACAGACATAATTTCCCTACCCTGCCAAGTTAAAAGTTCATCTGGCAACGTTGCCTCTTCCCATATCGTCAGACGCGACAGCGCCCAACGCAGCATCGTCGCAGTACGAACAGAACATGCAGATCGTTACGCCGGGCGCTGAGCCCAGATAGCAGAAGGAAACGTATACCGAGAATATATCTATATCATTCGAGAGTTTTGACGTCAAAGGTACGGGGAAACCTATTATGTGTCAAATATGGCTAATAGGTATTAAACCGATCAAGTCAGTCAAACAGGTCCATACAATAAGTCCACAGACATAATTTCCCTACCCTGCCAAGTTCCTGTTCATCTGGCAACGTTGCCCCTTCCCATATCGTCAGACGCGACAGCGCCAAACGCAGCATCGTTGCAGTACGAACAGAACATGCAGATCCTTACGCCGGGCGTTGAGCCCAGATGGCAGAAGGAAACGTATACCGAGAATATATCTATATCATTCGAGAGTTATGACGACAAAGGTACGGGGAAACCTATTATGTGTCAAATATGGCTAATAGGTATTAAACCGATCAAGTCAGTCAAACAGGTCCATACAATAAGTCCACAGACATAATTTCCCTACCCTGCCAAGTTACTGTTCATCTGGCAACGTTGCCCCTTCCCATATCGTCAGACGCGACAGCGCCCAACGCAGCATCGTCGCAGTACGAACAGAACATGCAGATCGTTACGCCGGGCGCTGAGCCCAGATAGCAGAAGGAAACGTACACCGAGAATATATCTATATCATTCGAGAGTTTTGACGACAAAGGTACGGGGAAACCTATTATGTGTCAAATATGGCTAATAGGTATTAAACCGATCAAGTCAGTCAAACAGGTCCATACAATAAGTCCACAGACATAATTTCCCTACCCTGCCAAGTTACTGTTCATCTGGCAACGTTGCCCCTTCCCATGTCGTCAGACGCGACAGCGCCCAACGCAGCATCGTCGCAGTACGAACAGAACATGTAGATCGTTACGCCGGGCGTTGAGCCCAGATAGCAGAAGGAAACGTATACCGAGAATATATCTATATCATTCGAGAGTTTTGACGATAAAGGTACGGGGAAACCTATTATGTGTGAAATATGGCTAATAGATGTGTATATACGTAATTACCGAGGCTGGGAGCGTATAAATATCCTAATATAAAAAAATTGAGATATATCCTCCCCCACTCTTAATTTTTCACCCCTAATTTTTTTCAAAAATGATCAGGTTCCTTTCTCGACTAAACTGTGTTTCTTTCCATTTTTAACCGACAAATTTATGTATTTATACTTAATTATATTTTTAATTTTTTTGATAATAATGTACTCACATAGATATGTCTGATGAGTCTTATATCATTCCTATGATCCAAAGACAATAAAAATAAAGCATCTATCTATCTATCTATCTATCTATCTTTGAAACGTCAATAAACGTAGGTAGAGCGATTTTTTCGTTTTTTGGCCTTTTTCTCCGCCGCTACTGACGGAACAACCAGGCAGACAGATGGAAATGAGTGATGTCGTGATGTAAGAGTGCATGTCATACAAGGTGTAAACGTTATGGTAGTCATTATTGAAATGGGTAATAGGGGGGATCAAAACAAGTCAAAAAGTTCATATGACCCATGGTTGAAAAGTCAATAGATTTTTGTCTAAATCTAAAAAAACTTTAAGTGCTTTATATCGAACACAATCACCACAATCTTACTAATTTTTATAATCCAATCTAAAACGTTTTTAAATTGGGTAATTAACAAATAAATGGCATTAAGTTTTTCTAAGTTAAACCAAAATTTGTAGTCAGTAAGTAAGTTTCATTAAATTAAATATTTAAAACACACATGACAACAGCGCGTCGGTCATCATCACTCTTATCGAACCAGCAATCGATCGCAAACGGTAACAGTGGTTAGTATGTCGTTTTGTTTTTGTTCGCGTACGTCGTCGTCTTGATTTACAGAATTCAAATCTTGCAGCTCAAACTTATCGCGATCCATTTCGCCAACGGGTGCACCCAGACAGAAAGACATTTGTGCAAGTGTACCAAAGCCTTCGAGATAAAGGAAGTGTTCAGCCCACTAATATTCGCACTCGTGAAAAACAGGTTACTGTAGAACAGGAGAAACACATTTTAAATATTGTGGAAATCAATGCAGATATCAGCACTCGGGGATTAGGCCGCCGTGTAGGACTATCGCATACCATAGTCCATAGAATCCTACGGGAAAATTTGCTTTATCCCTACCATGTACAACGAGTACAGGCCTTGTTACCAGAAGACTATCCTCGCAGACTAACATACTGTCAGTGGTTTTTGCACAAAAACATTGAAAATCCGGATTTTTTTAAAAACATTCTAGCGACGGACGAATGTACTTTTACGTGAGACGGGATATTAAATTTCCATAATACTCACACGTGGGCCCAAGAAAATCCTCACACCATTCGTGAAGGTTGTAATGAAGCTTGTGTGGAGGACGACATTTTGAACACCTTCTTTATATATAAAAAAAGTGCAGTGTGGGTTTTAAAAGGAAAAACAATGTATGTATCAAAATTGTATTCCCTATTTATAAGTGGATTTTTTTAATAAGTTCAATAAACTTTCACACACCAGGTGATGCGCTGAGATAGTTAGTGGTAGGTCCGTTTTTTTAATTCTTTGCATTTTACGAGTACATTATCAAATGATGAAATAATACCTGAGAGCCAAAAATAACAAATTCCATCTTTATTTACACTGCGTTCCATCGTAATTTGCGTCTGGCATTGCGCTTTTCTCTAAAATATGCTGTTTTGACCCCCATGTTATATGAAACTTTTTGCTCCTTTTAACCCCCTCAATCACCCATTTAAATAATGACTATCATAACGTTTACACCCTGTATAGAAATTTTGTGGGATATAGAAGATCTTATAAGGACATGTGTAACCAACATAATATCTTGACGACCAAGTGCTTTTTTGTTATGTCATAATAGCAATGTTAATAACACAAGCTGTTATAAGATGACTAATCATCAACTTATACTTTGTAATTTTTTAATATGTATACTGCCTCTGCGCATTGGAAAATGTGTAACATCCGAAAATAATAAAATCACATTTTAGAAATTTTAAGGAAACTCTTTACAATTCAGTGGTAGGCGACGATCTTTTTTCTTTTCTCGTATTTGCAATATCAATTTTATTTGACACTAGGAGAAAGTGATAATTTCGGTGTCTAGGCATATTATACAAATTTTTGATGTAGATGCGTCATAACTAATTGCTCTGTGATGTGGCTTGATTGCTCACAACGCGTGCGCGTCTGATAACCAGATCATTCTTAAGAAGATGTCAAGCTTGCACTGTTTCTGAAGGAAGGCAGTTTGACTATTTATTGTGAATTTGATAAACACGTTCACGAATTAATAAAAGTGGAGCCACTCTCTGTTTTGCTGTCACTTCGTAGAATGACTCTGTTTCTCACTCCGTTTATGAAAAAATTGACAATTGTAGTAATAAGAACTAGGCTTTTAGGCTAATAGTTTGAAGAATTTTTTATATTTTTCTGATAACTGTTATCACTTGGCCTATCCCCCGTTTCTGGCTTGAAGTCAACTTTGGGACATCCTGTATATTCACGATTTATATGACTTTCTTGTTTGTTATCAAGGTAACGTTTCCGAAGGAAGGCGACCACTGTCCTAACAAGATACCTGCAGATGTGGTGTTCACAATCCGCGACAAGCCTCACCCTCTCTTCAAACGCGATGGTAGCGATCTTAAGCACACTGCTAGAGTCACACTGAAACATGCTTTGTGCGGATGCGTAGTTACTGTACCTCTGCTGGGTGGAGGACAGATGGCTCTGGACTTTTCAGAAGACGTCATTAGTCCAGACACGACTAAAAGGATACCTAGGTAATGACCATTTAATATCTTATCCTACCGTTTTCCACGTTTTCCTGGCGATTAAATAAAACCATATTTGAAAACAATTTTGCAGATGAAAATCTATACTGCCTCTAGTTTCGTAGTTATGATAATGACTATTTAATGTTGCGAAGTTCTCTAAATGTGGTGGTAATAAATGATTTTTTAATTCGAATATGAAAACGAGAACTAAATAATATATGAAATTTTTCACATCCAACCACTGCAGTTCTTCTAACATAGTATATCTGTTTTTATTTAAAATGATTCTCATAGCTTTATTTTGTAGAATTTGTAATTTTGAAAATATGTTCTTATTTGCTCTAAACAAGATGGTTGAACAATTTAAAAAATGGGGAATAATTATAGTGTTATATACAATTTTTTTGAAATACATACTAAGATTATGGGAAATTATAGAAGTAAAATTATCTTTTTCGATATTTTTGAAATAATGTATTCATAATGTTTGTGAAACAGTATCTTACTACTACTACATATACAGGGTGTTTCAGTTTATTGTTGCATAACTTTAAGATTCGATAGAACTTTTAAAATTAATGCATAAAGTCTATATAAACATGGGTCGAAAAATGCGTGGCTTCCGAAATACAGGGTGTTTAAATTTACTTTCTAAAATAGTTTTTTTTTTAAATATTTCGAAGATATTTGATGTATAACAGTGAAAATTGGTATATACGACAAAACGAACCATGGGCATATTTTTACTGTAGCCGCTAGAGGGCGCTCTCTACTGTACCTGTAGTGTATTAAAATGACCGAAAAATTTTTCTTAGTGCAATTTTTTGCTTTTTGAATAAAAAAAATGATTATTCGCACTTTTCAACATAAAAAAGCTCTCTTGTGAATTTTCGTTATAGTTAGTCGTTTTTGAGATGTTTCGATTTTTAAGGTTCGAAGCATTTTTAATTATATATGATAAAATAGCGTTAAAAAGTCAGTATCTCGATAATTTTTAGAAGTAGGCTGTGCCTGCAAATATTTTTGAAATTGAAAGCAGAATAAGGTTAAACGTCAATTAGTTGACAGTTAGTTTTGTTGTCTGTTGAAACCTGAAACGTTTATTTGCAATTGTGAATGCACGAAATTTACTTTCTTTTACCTGTTTTTTTTGTAAGTTTTATAAAAATGCCATTTTTATTCTCCAATCAAGAGTTAGCGGATATTCATTTTGTGTATGGCTTTGTAAATGGAAACGCAGCAGAAGCAGCCAGAGAATACGCACGAAGATTTCCAAGCAGGCGACATCCAACTCGCTCAGTATTTGTAAGAGTGCATCGCCAAATAATTGAAAATGGTTTTGGAAATCTCCAAAGGGATCAAAACATAAATGTTCGTCAGCGCAGATTTACCCGTATGATTCTGCGTGAGTTTGATAGAGATCCGACCACAAGTGTTAGGAGAGTTTCTGATGCCTTGGGAATTTCAGCAAGCCATGCTCACCGTGTTCTTAGAAATGACCATAGACGTCCTTACCATTTGCAACCTGTGCAAGGACTACAGCCAGGGGACGGAGAATGAAGAATCACATTTTGTCAGTGGATTCTTGTTAGAACTGATAATAATAGGGGGTTTTTAAGTAATGTTTTATGGACCGATGAGTCATGCTTCACTAGACGTGGAGTGGTGAATTTTCATAATCAACATACTTGGTTGCATAAAAATCCGCATGCAGTTCGGGAAAGAAATTTTCAGCATGAATTTAGTGTGAACGTGTGGATTGGTATCTACCCTAATCGACTATTTGGACCCTACCTTTTGCCTGCAAGGTTAAATGCTGCGACCTTCTTGGAATTTTTGAAGGCTGAACATGCAAATATGTGGGATGATGTTATGTTAGATTTAAGAAGATTGGCCTGGTTCCAGCTTGATGGTTGTCCAGCTCATTATTCGAGAATAGTTAGAAACTGGCTGGACGAAAATTATCCAGAAAGATGGATCATGGATCGGCCGTGGAGGACCAGTCACCTGACCTCCACGATCCCCTGACCTAAATCCATTAGATTTCTTTGTGTGGGGATTTCTAAAAGAAAAAGTGTACCAGACTCCCGTAACCACAAGAAATATGCTAATAGACAGAATCAGGAATTCATGTGATGAAATAAGGCCTTATTTGAATAATGCTATACCGCGTTCGATCATTCGTTGATGTGAATTATGTATTGAACAATTGGGTTTACATTTCGAGCAACTACTTTAGATTTTTTATGTTTGTCCTAACTATCCAATAGCATTTTAGTTGTAAATAATTAATTTAATTTGTTAAAAATAATATTGGAAAATTAAACAAATTAATATTCTGTTTTTTGTGTTTATTTGGAGTTAGGAATTATTGCTGTGTTTAAAAACACAATCTAAACGATCATCTTAATTACTTGTAATGCCCAAATCGAAAATGTAAAAAAAATATTATTTTCCCATAAATAATTAAAAATGCATCGAACCTTAAAAATCGAAATATCTCAAAAACGGCTAACTATAACGAAAACTCGTAGGAGAGCTTTTTATGCAAAAAGAGCGAAGAATCAGTTTTTTTATTCAAAAAACAAAAAATTGCACTAAGAAAAAATTTTTGGTCATTTTAATACACTACAGGTACAGTAGAGAGCGCCCTCTAGCAGCTACAGTAAAACTATGCCCATGGTTCGTTTTGTCGTACCAAAAAACCCTTGTATACCAATTTTCACTGTTATACATCAAATATTGTTCGAAATATTTAAAAAAAAACTATTTTAAAAAGTAAATTTAAATACCATGTATTTCGGAAGCCACGCATTTTTCGACCCATGTTTATATAGACTTTATGCATTAATTTTAAAAGTGCTATCGAATCTTAAAGTTATGCAACAATAAACTGAAACACCCTGTATACCAAGATATTTAAATGACTCGACTACTTCAATTTTTTCATCATTAATCATGAGCCTTATTGTATTGTCACCTAATGTTTACCTATTGACATAGATTTTGTTTTATTAGTGTTTAATTCAAGTTTATTGACATTTAACCAATTAATAATTTTTTCAATATCACTAGTTAACAGTTCAAAAGCAGTGTTCAAATGCTTATGTGCTATATATATATATAAGTGTACCGTCCGCAAATATTTGAATTTTGCAATGTTCTAAAATGTCAGAGATCATTTATATAAATAGTAAATAGTAACGGCCCTAATTCACTCCTCTGTGGCACCTCTACTGATAAATTTTGAACACTTGACATAATATTTCCAACTTTAGTTTTTTGACTTCTATTTACTAAATAATTTTGTAAAATGTGTAATACTGATCCTTTAAAGCCATAGTGACGCAATTTCATTAACAACTCTTCCCTATCTACAGTCTCAAATGCCCTTTTGAAGTCTAAAAATATTGTTACAATATATTCTTTCTCATCTATACTTCTTCTCCAGTCTTCCACCACCATTTGGATTGCCGTTTCTGTGGAACATTTTTTTCTAAATCCAGCTTGATTTTTTATCAAAATTTCGGTTTCTTCAATGAATTCTATGATTTGTTCGTATATTATCCCTTCGAACAGCTTCTCGACATCGGGCAATACATTAATCGGTCTCATATTCTCAAGGGGGATAACTTCTTAAGCAAAAACTATTTCACCTCCTTCACACTCTCGGCCCCCCTAGAGTCATTGCCTTAAAAAATTTAAATGCCAAGGGGTATCGAGTAATAATATGTTTGAAAGGTCCTTTGACGTTTGATTTTTTAAAATCACTCGATTCGTTTTCGAGAAAATTAGAATAATATTTATCTTAATTTGTTCAGACAGAAAACCAAAACACGAAAATATCACTTTTTATATCAATGTGTTCAAAATGTTGCCCGCTAGGGTTTTCCAATCTCCAATTCGTTTATAATTTAAAACCAACCAACATAAACAGCAATTCGGAAGATTAGACGTGGCAACAACCAAATAAAAGCCCGATTTTTTTCCGCGTACCTTTCATCAACACAGATATCGTGGGCGAACTGTATTTATTGTTATTCCTTAGTTATTTGTTGCTAAGGGAAAGAAAGAATCTAATTTGCTGCCAGTTACTTTGTGTCAATCTGGTTTACACACTAGCCGAAAGAGTGGAAGGATGGAGGATGGAAACCTTATACTTGATGAAGCTGAAATATACAGGGTGTTTCAGTTTATTGTTGCATAACTTTAAGATTCGATAGAACTTTTAAAATTAATGCATAAAGTCTATATAAACATGGGTCGAAAATTGCGTGGCTTCCGAAATACAGGGTGTTTAAATTTACTTTCTAAAATAGTTTTTTTTTAAATGTTTCGAACAATATTTGATGCATAACAGTGAACATTGGTATACGAGGGTTTTTTGGTACGACAAAACGAACCATGGGCATAGTTTTACTGTAGACGCTAGAGGGCGCTCTCTACTGTACCTGTAGTGTATTAAAATGACCGAAAAAATTTTTTAGTGCAATTTTTTGCTTTTGAATAAAAAAACTGATTCTTCGCACTTTTCAACATAAAAAAGCTCTCTTGTGAATTTTTGTTATAGTTGGCCGTTTTTGAGATATTTCGATTTTTAAGGTTCGATGCATTTTTAATTATTTATGATAAAATAACGTTAAAGAGTCAGTATCTCGATAATTTTTAGAAGTAGGCTGTGCCTGCAAATATTTTTGAAATTGAAAGCAGAATAAGGTTAAACTTGAATTAGTTGACAGTTAGTTTTGTTGTCTGTTGAAACCTGAAACGTTTTTTTGCATTTGTGAATGCACGAAATTTAGTTTCTTTTACCTGTTTTTTTTGTAAGTTTTATAAAAATGCCATTTTTATTCTCCAATCAAGAGTTAGCGGATATTCATTTTGTGTATGGCTTTGTAAATGGAAACGCAGCAGAAGCAGCCAGAGAATACGCACGAAGATTTCCAAACAGACGACATCCAACTCGCTCAGTATTTCTAAGAGTGCATCACCAAATAATTGAAAAT